ATGACCTTTCTTGGGGTGCCTGGATGGCACAGTTGGTTAAGTGTCTGACTCTTGGTTTCGGGTCAGGTCCTGAGCTTGAGCCCCGTGTTGGGCTCTGCACTTAGCATGGAGTTGACTTGGGATTTTCTCTCCCTCTCCCTGCCCCTCCTGCTGTGCGCTTTATCTCTCTCTCAAATAAATAAATCTTTTAAAAAATAATAAAAAATAAAATATGATCCTTCTCTGGATCCATTGCCCTTTTGCCTCACAGAACCCAGCTGGCTTAAAGGGGCCACCCGCCTCCAAACTTGAACTCTCCGGGTTCATTCAGGCTACAGCTCACTCTCTGACTTATTCATCTTCCTTTTAGAAGCGGTGATTTCTGCAATCTTTCACTTCTGGGCTCCTCTGCACGCTGTTCCTCCCCAGCTCACTGCTGTTTCTGCTGGACTCAGGTGCTTTGGGCCTCACTTACATGTGAATTGGGGTTTATGGGTTTTTCATGCTCCTAGTTTCGCTGAAACTGTAGCTTGTGGTTTATTTTCTCTTTCCCCTGTTGCTCTGTATGACATCAGCAGAGGAGCAAAGATTCAGAACCAAGAATCTGCCCTATTCCTATTGGAAAAACAAGTCTCCACCTCCCTCATTTTGTTGGCAATATCTCCCAAAGAGCAAGCCACTGCCTTCCTGATTTCTGGCTTTAGAACATCTTACAGGCTTTGGAGAAGAAACATTTTATAACCTCTGCTCTGAAAACATCCATTTTTACAAGGATCATCTTCTAGTAACTGTAACTCCTACTTCTTGAATAGAAATATTTATTTATGCCCTGAAAGATGGGAGGGGGGTGCGGGGGCAGGACAGCGGACGCTTCAGGCAGGATTTTCAAGCTCTAGGTATTGATTGTTCCCGCCAAGTAGTGTCTGGGTTCCTGATCCTGTCCTGTCTCCAGAAGTATCCCTGCTTTCAACTTGGTAGACTCTTCTCTCATCTCTTTCTCTCTTTTCCCCTGTGTGTGTGTGTGGGGGGGGGGGGGGTTGACATGACAAGAAGTCCAGGATGGACTAGCTTCAGGCATATCAGAATCCAGGTGTAAAGATGATGTCATCATGCATCTCTTTCTCTCCATCTCTTGGTTTTGCTTGCCTCTGGGCCAGCTTCATTCTCAGGCAGGCTCTCCCCTCCTGGCTCCTGGCTCAATCTTAGCACCTCCCTGAGAAAGCATGTGACTCTGCTTGGCTTGGATTTGGGTTACGTGTCCTCCCTGGCTACTCACTGTGGCCAGGAGAACATGGCACAGTCATTAGGCAGACTTGAATCGTGTGCATACCCCAAGAACTAGAGAGGGGGGTCTGTGGGGCAGAGGTAGTTCCTCAAAGGAAATCAGGGTACTGTTATCAGAAGAAGGGGGAATGGATGCTGGGCAGGCAAAGCCAGCAGACAGCCACCCCATCTCCGCTGGGAAACCCCAGTGCAAATGACATCTAACCATTTTCTCTTGCCACGCAGAGAGGCCCACCGAGGCACATTCTCCATGGAGCTGCCATTTCAGTGATATTCCAGGCAGTGTGTGTGACCCGAGGGTGGCTCTGAGACTCCAGGACAGAGGGACATAGGAAGGGGGTGTTGTGGAATAAATGGTGGCCTCAAAGGAGATATGTCGTGTCCTACCCCCTGCAACATGTGACTGTGACCTCCTTTGGAAAAAGGGTCTTTGCAGGTGTTAACTACGTTAAGGATCTTGAGATGAGGAAATGATCCTGGATTAGCCAGGTGCGGGCCATAGTCCAATGACAAATGTCCCTACAAGAGACAGAGGAGGAGAAGAACGCACATAGGAGAAGGCCGCCTGAGCCCAGAAGCAGAGACTGGAGGAAGCGGCCACAAGCCCAGGAGGGCCTGGAGCCACCAGAAACTGGAAGGAGCAAGAAACGATTCTCCCCTAGAGCTCGAGAGGGAGTCGGGTCCTGCCGACACCTTGGTTTTAGACTTCTACTCTCCAGAGCTGTGAAAAAATAGGTGCCTGTTATGGTCATTGGTTTCAGCGGCTACCGGAAACCAATATGGGGAAGCTGATCAGAGTCGAGAGTCGGGTCCCTTTTCGGTTTCCTTGGTTTTGTGGTTTGCGACTTCTGCTGGGCTGCCTGCCTCCTGAAGCATCTCAAGGAAGACCTGGGGGTGGGGCAGTCCTCACGGGGGGCGGGGGGGCAGGAAGAGCTCCCTGAGGGCGTCAGCTCCAGCCTCTACGGCTGTGTGACCCTGGCCAAATCCCTTTCCCTCTCTGGGCCTCTGGGAGCCAGTCAGCACCCATCCTGGCGGCAAGCGGTTCGGCGTGGACTGTATCTGACCATCACCATGACTCTGCTCTTTTTGGGTCACGGTCCAGCAGCACCAGGCTGAGCTGGATGGACACGGGAGCCGAGGGAAGGTCAGAGGTGGAGTGCCCCTACTGTGGGCCATCAAGGAGTGACAATCTTCGGGCAGAGGAGCCATTTCTAGACACTTGGGCCCTCGCTGATGCTCCTGACGGCGGGGGGAGGGCCCACAAAGCTGGTGGCGAGGGCCCAGCCAGCCAGGGGTGGTCAGGCCTTTGGCCCTTTGACCCACCAGCTGTGTGCGTCTCACCCTCACTTCCTGCCTGAGTTGGATCGTGGGGGGGGTCCTGAGGAGCTCAGAGCAGGGAAGTGGCCACAGTCAACAAGCTAACTGGGGGCAGTGGCAACGTGCCAGGCGCTGCTGACAAGGGCCAGGACTTGGGCCGCAGCTGCGAGGCCCATCCCGGGGGGCCAGGAGCATGCTTTGGACCTGAGGTCACACGGGTATTGGGCTGTGGCCAACTTGGCCCTGTGCACAGTTTCTATTCCTGGGTTTTGGGCTCCAGGACCAAATACGGCACTGCTTGGGACTGGCACTCTCCACTGGGGCAGGCGCAGGCTCAGGTGGCACATCCAGCCGCCCCAACAGGCCCAGACCCCACCCCACACCACGGAAGAGCCAGATCACCCCAACACTGCGGGGGCCCCTGGGCGGCTGGGACCTCGATCTGTCCAACTCTCTGTCCACTCCTCAGTGTGGTTCACATTGGGTTAAAAATACCCAGGACCAAAATAGCCTCTCCTTGCAGGGGAAAACCAGGGCAGGGGAACACAAGGTTCTTGATTTCTCTTGGCTCTGCCGCTCACGACCCAGCTGGGGGATCCCAGGCTGCTCACCTGACCTCCAGCCCCGCTGCTCATGGCTCCTTCGGTCACTCGCCGATTTGCTAACTCACTGACTTGCCCACTCTTTAATTCGCTCCTTCATTAATTCACTCGCTAATCATTCATCGATTCGCGCGCTCATTGATTCGCTCCTTCGTTGACTCGCTTCCTCCTTCACTTACCCACCCACACGCTGAGTCACTCGCTCACTCGATATTTACTGACTGCACACCGAGCGCCATCTATTTAGATGCTGAGCAAAACGCAAAAAATACCCATCCCCGTAGAGTGACGTTCCACATAAATAACCCGCACAAACGAGTACAAGATGTCCCGTATGCTAGATGAAGCACCAGGGACAGTGAACTCCGCAGGAGGCCATGAAGTGACAGGGGAGGTGGGACTCTCGGGGCTGGGAGGCCCCCCAGGAAGATGATTTCTGAGTGAGGACCAGAGGGAGGTGAGGGAAGGAGCCAGGTGAACAGCTGTGGGAAGAGTGTTCCAAGCAGAGGGAACAGCATACACAGAAGCCCTGAGAAGGCAATATGGGGGGAGAGGGGGACGGGTTTGAGAAAGAGCGAGCAGGCCGGGCGTGGCTGGGGTAGAGCAGACGACGGGGGAGAGACACGGGGTGTGAGGCCAGGGGTGGGGGACACGCAGGACCTGGTGGACCTGGGCCTCCCACATCACTGAGGGTCTCACAGACAAATGACATGGCCTGGCTTGTGTCTTCGGACTGTCCCTCTGGCCGCCGGGGGAGTGAGTCCGTGAGGGAGCAGATCAGGGAGAGGGTGAGTCAGTTTGTGTGGGTCTACTGTGTGCCAGGCACTGAGCCGGGCTCTGGCAGGGGGAAGGGGCGCAGGCCCCCGTGGCGCTTACGGAGGCCCATCTGGCCACGGCCCTTCCATCAGTGTCAGCTCTCCAGGAAGCCACCTTCACTGGCTCCGTTGGACCCTTTGCTCCATTTCAGCTGTCACCAGCGTCGTCCTTATCTGTTTCCAGATCGTTCCCCCCCACACGCTGAGAGCTCCCCCGGGGCGGAGCTGCAACCTAGCTCTTCCCTTCTCCCAAGCACCCTCCCTGTGGGGCTGAGAGAGCCAGTGAATCAATGAACAAGTGACCCTGTATGGCTGGGGGATGAGGCCTCCGTGAGCCCGCCACCCTCCTCACTGTGTGTCTCCCCGTCTTTTGCAGATGGATTTGTGGGCACGGAGAGTGTGTGGAAGGGCCGTGTTCCTGTTGGCAGAGGAGTCTGGCTGCTGAGCCAGGGCGTGTCTCCCGGAGGGCTGCTGGGCTGCCGGATCCCCACCTCGCCGCCATGGGCCGCCCAGGCTGGTCAGTTACCAGCCAGTGACGTTAGCGCGGTTCCCAGCCCTCCACTGGGAGGGCACGCCAGAGGCTCGAGTCCCAGCCTCCCGGCACCACTCTCAGGCTGTGAAACCTGTCTGTCCTGGGGAGGGGTTCACTCTGGCCCCCGTTAGCCCCCAGGCTGCACGGTCCCTCCACCCCGCTGTGTGTCCATGTTTCCTGGCCTCTAAAGTAGAAATGATCCAACCACCCCTGGGGTTACGGAGAGCCAGAGGGCACCAAGATTTTAGAAGACGCTGAGTAAACGGTGGCCGGGATTCTGTGAATAGTGAGAACAGCCCAGGTGAATGTGCACCGAGTCCCCAAAGTGCCGGGCACGTGCCCACATCCCCTGCACCATTTCTCTCCCAGGCAGGACGGTACAGTGTTGAGAGAGGAGACTCTGGAGCCAGGTGGCCTGGCTTCAAGCCCCCACCCCGCCACTCGCCTGCCGCGGGACTGTGTGTGAGTTACCAGGCTTCTCGGTGCCTCGAGGTCCTCACCTGTGAGATGGGGGTGATGATTGCCACTGCATAGGGCGGCCGTGAGGGTTCAGCCAGTTAAATGTGTCTGATGTCCCCATCAGGCCACCTGGCACATGTGTGGTGATGGTCAACCCTTTAGTGGGCTCCAGTGTTCTTGGCCTGGAAGTGTGAGCTGAGTGAGTTGCCCCAGGTCTTAGCTGGTTCAGGCAGACTTCAGGTCCCATGTCTCCCAGGTGCTCCCATAGCCCTGCCCTTGGGGACAGAGCCCAAGCCTGTTTCCTTTCCCCAGCCACCTGCTGGGCCCCCAGGATGTTCTTGGCTGCTGGCCAGGTGGACATCACCAGGAGAGGGTGAGGGTCGAAGGGCAATAGTCCTAGGCTCCAGACCTGTGTCTATAAGAAGCACGGTCGAGGGCAGGGGCTGGGGAAGCCAGGCGCCCAGGAGACTCCATTGTGTCTGAGACAAGGGCTTTAGGACCCAGAATGCATCCCCGTGTGCCTGGAGCCCACCCGCCCTGCAGGCTTGCCTGCCAGCCCCTTAGCATGCCAGTGCCCAGGCCGGCTCAAGCCCCAGGCTCTTCTGCTGAAAGGCCCCAAGGCTACTTGGCAGTCTGCCCTCTTGGAGCAGCTCCAGGCCTGGCTTGTGGAACTGAATGGGGCTAAGGGGCCCGTGGGCTAGGCCTCGAATCACGGGCTGCCAGTGGCCTGAGGGGCCCAGGCATCACCGGACAGAGAGGCCCGTGGGCCACGTGGCAGAGGCATCGCTTCTGAGAACCTCGCCTGTGCCAGACCCTGGCCTGGGCCCACGGAGGCCACATGCTGTAGGTAGCACTAGCTCCGTGTCGGGAAGCTCCCAGGTGTGTCCCAGAGAGCAAAGGGACTCTGCCCAGACCGCGGCCCCTGGCCCGCCGTTCCCGTTTCGCAGGTGAGGAAGGAGGTGGGACTCAGGGCCAGCAGGCCCGTGGGCTTTGGGAAGCCGGCTTTGGCCGGAGCTGGTGCTTGAGGGAAGTGTTTTTCGGGCGAGCGATGCCAGCAGTCAGCCCGAATGTGATGCTCGTCTCTTGCAGACCGGCCAGTTCGTGCTGCGGCCTCCTGGCGTCATCTGCGGAGAACATGTCCAGGCCCCCTGAGTGCCTGCTGCGGCTGCGCCGGGGAGCCCCGAGGCAGCGCGTCTGCACCCTGTTCATCATCAGCTTCAAGTTCACGTTTTTCGTCTCCATCATGATCTACTGGCACATCGTGGGAGAGCCCAGGGGCCAAAGAGAGTTCTCTAACTTGCCTGCCGACGTCCCCTGCCCCCGACTGGGGCCCCCTACGCTGCTCTCCAGCACCCCGCCTCCGGGCAACATCTTCTTCCTGGAGACGTCAGACCGGACCAACCCCAACTTCCTATTCATGTGCTCGGTGGAGTCGGCCGCCAGGGCCCACCCCGGGTCCCGGGTGGTGGTCCTGATGAAGGGGCTACCCGGCGGGAACGCCTCCCTGCCCCGGCACCTGGGCCTTTCGCTCCTGGGCTGCTTCCCCAACGTCCACCTGCTCCCGCTGGACCTGGAGGAGCTGTTCCGGGACACGCCGCTGGCGGCCTGGTATGCGGCCCGTCAGCGCCGCTGGGAGCCCTACCTGCTGCCCGTGCTCTCCGACGCCTCCCGGATCGCGCTCCTGTGGAAGTTCGGCGGCATCTACCTGGACACGGACTTCATCGTCCTCAAGAGCCTGCAGAACCTGACCAACACGCTGGGCACCCAGTCCCGCTACGTCCTCAACGGTGCCTTCCTGGCCTTCGAGCGCCACCACGAGTTCATGGAGCTGTGCATGCACGACTTCGTGGCCCACTACAACGGCTGGATCTGGGGCCACCAGGGCCCGCAGCTGCTCACGCGGGTCTTCAAGAGGTGGTGCTCCATCCGCAGCCTGGACGAGAGTCACGCCTGCCGTGGCGTCACCGCCCTGCCCTGCGAGGCCTTCTACCCCATCCCCTGGCAGGACTGGAAGAAGTACTTCCAGGAGGTCAGCCCCGAGGAGCTGCAGCGGCTGCTCAAGGCCACCTACGCTGTCCACGTGTGGAACAAGAAGAGCCAGGGCACGCGCCTTGAGGCCACGTCCCGGGCGCTGCTGGCCCAGCTCCATGCCCGCTACTGTCCCACGACGCATGAGGCCATGAAGATGTACTTGTGAGGGGCCCGCCGGGCCCCCCTCCCCGCACCACCAGGCGCCCTGACGGAGAAGGGCTCCCGGCCACCTTTCCTGGCGCGGGCGAGACTGGAGGGCCCGGGAGAGGGAGCCCGGAGCTGCTGCAGCCTCGGATTCGGACAGGCTTGGGGGAGCGTGGGGAGCTGTTGGCCCCAGAGGTGTGCTGGAGGATGCGCTGCAGGCCCCCGGATCCACTCCCTTCAGGGTGAGGCCGGTGGGACACCCCCAGGCCGGTGTGCTTTCTCAGGGTGGAGGCAACAAGTGGGGGGGGAGGGCAGCCGGAATCAGCTGGAGTGAGCCAGGGGAGCATCTGGGTCTTCCGGACAACACACCAGAGCCGTGCGCGTCAAAGCGGCTCCCAGGACGTCACAGGGAGGCCAGGCTGCTGGGGGCCGAGGTGCCCACAAAGAGAACATGGATGGAGAAGCCCCAGAACAGGGGTAGGAAGGAGAGGGGAGCTCCTGAGGGAAGGGGGGAGGCCGCAGGGGTGCACGCCCAGCCTCATGAGCCTGGGTTGGGGGGGCAGGGTGCTTTGCTCTTCTCTGCCTTTGGTTTCTTCTTCAGAGGAGCGGGCCTGGGGAGCCCTCTGCGGGAGGCTTGCCTGCTCGCCCCGTTCTCTCTCCTTTCCAGAGACGTTGCAGGGGTGCCGTGTGCCGGGCCGGCCACTCCAGGGCGTGGCGGCGTGGAGTTCTTTTGGCTCAGGAAAAGCATTTTAAGAAAACCACCCCCCTCCCTGCCCACAATACACACGGGATAATAAACATAATAAAAGCAACTCCTTGACTCCGAGTGCTTGGTGGTTGATAAAAGGAATCCACTCCCACAAGCCCGCATTAGCCCCGTTCTGGAGATGGGGAAGCAGCTGGGGGGCCGTGTCATGACATGCTTGAGGTCACTCAGCCCTGCCCGGGAGAGCAGTCCAGGGACCCGGGGGGCGGGGGTGGGTTGGGGGGCCGAGCCAGACACCCCAGGAGCCCATTACCAGAGTAGGGGCATGCTGCCCCCAGGCCTAGAGTGGAGGGGGAGGTGTCCGGCCCTGTGGGGTCCCTCCTGGCCCAGGTCCTGGGAAAGACCAGAGGTGTGCTGGCAGCCACAGGGCTGGGCTGGAGGAAAATGCTCTCTGCCAGGTGCGGCCCCAGCTGGGTCATGCTGAGGAAGCCCTCTCTGAGAGCTGGGCATTCTAGCCAGGCTGGAGAAGCCCTTCCCTGAGGGAGCAGGGGTGGGCAGGCTGCTCTTTGGCAGCCGAGGGGGAGACGTTTAGAGACCTCTGGGTTCTGACCTTCTTGGGCAGCCTAGTCAGGAAGTGAGCTCCCCAGCTCTAAGGGTATTCAAGAACAGGTGATATTTTGATGACGACAGTGGATTCCATGTCAGGTATTTCTCCAACCACAACATCATTCACCCGTTTTTTAAAAATATTTTATTTATTTGAGAGAGGGAGTGAATGAGAGAGAGAGCGC